TTTCTAGAAAACTGGGTCTTCAAGAAACATTGAGAAAAATGCTTTATGCCACTAGAATCAGCTCGTCGAGCTCTATCGATTGGGGTACCTCTCGTTAGCATCTGTGATTAACACTTGGGATAGTTCCCTCGTTAGTTAGATGTTTAATAGAATTTTACTGACGGATAATCTATCAGCTTTCTTGTTTTGAAGCGAAATGAAGATATTGAATATATTATATTATGGATAATGAATACCGTTCGATTTCTACATGTCCTCCAGCAATATAGCGGAGATGAAGTATGTACAGAATGAGAGCTGGTGCTTGATCTTACACATGAAATGTTGTTCTTGTAGAAATACACAGTCCAAAATACACCAGAACAAAACCAACAGTGTCTAAAAAATTTTGATTTAGCAGACTATCAGATAATACTTTCCGATCTTGTTGTATATTTATATAATGAAATACTGAATCGAATTAAAACAAAATTAATACCGATGATAAGTAAGTTTTGAAATCTCGAACCCATCAAGTGACTCGACTTCCCAAGTACGAATGAAGAACCCCTAAACTGCCCGGTTCTCGCTCGATCACACGGTCGAAATCACGGTTTCGACGGTTCTCAACCTCTTAACCGCTGATCTACAGCGGATAGATTTTTTCTAACACGATGACCGTCGGTTCGAACATTTTGGTTTTTTACTTATATAAAACATACAATAGTTATTGGCGGTTGTCATTTCTTGAACTGTCATTGAAAGGGTTCTACCCGCCTTCAACCGCGATTCTGTACGGTTGGATTTTTTCTTTCTGTTTTATCCTATGCAACAACATGCTCACCAATTTGTTTTGTACAGACAACAACTATAAATACGACGCTGAAGAAAAACAAAACTGAGAAATTTTTTCTCAAATTTTCTCATCGAACGGTGTGAACCAATAGAAGCTTACTGTTGTTCAAAGCCAAGTATTAAAACCGAACAGCGGTTTATCACGAGAGAACTGCGGCTCTAGATGGTTATTTTGAGACTCAAAACAACGTTAGGCGACTTTTTAAACAGTAAATTGATAAAAAAATACGCAGTTAACGTCGGTATCATAGAGAGAAAAAAACGCATATTTTTCAAAAAATTGTTCAAAAATTAAATCGTTTGGTCGGCGTTTTTCGAGTGAACGAACAGTTATTTTGTCTGAAATCGCCGACTTTGAGCGGTTTTCCCGCTGGCAACTAAACCGCTAAAAACCGTTCTTTTTGCAGGTTTTTTTTGGTTATTCGTGTATGGATTTGGATGTTTCAATTCTTGATACGTTGATAATTTATTCTGTTCTATTTTTTTCTCTTATTATAATAGTTCCCGCTATAATTGAATATGAAGACCTTGAGCAAGTTGGTTTATTGACATCAGCAAGAATTGCTACATCGGTCACGGGCAAACGACCAAAGTTTTCAGCACAGGATCTCATAAAACAAGTACATTTTTTTCGCTTGAAGAAAAAGCTTTTGTAAATTTATTTGACTAACACTGCTTTAGCTAACCGATTATCATAAAGTATTACAAATGTATTTTGTTGAACCGGCTATTATTCAACAGTTATTCAAACAAGTGAGTTTTTACTGTTCTACAACAGCAACTTGTACATGATTTCTAATGAATTTAGATATTCTATATAGTCAATGCACAAGCATTAAGAGGTTTATTGGTACGAAGTGATTGTTGTAATTGGAATAAAGCGTTACAAATAAGGTATGTTTATTTTCTACTAACTACGAGCTATAATGAAAATAAGTTGTGTATTCGAATTACAGATATAATCTAAATCATTTGACGGAATGGCTCCATAATCAACAACTAAGAGAGAGCGGAGCTGCCGATTGTTTACAACCGTTGACACAAGCTGTCCAATTATTTTTGTTGAAAAAAGATGAAAAGAACATTGATGAAATGATAAATATGTGCAAATCTTTAACAATTGCGCAGGTAGATATATTTAGTGACAATTCTTTGTTAAATCATAAAATAAATAACTCATCTTCTATCGGATTTAGGTGACAAAATTATTGAGTCTATACAAATCAATGGATGATTTTGATGATCAGGTAACACCGTTGTTGATAAAAAAAGTTGGTGAAGCTTTAAAACAACAACGTCTGGATTCAACTAAAGATCAAAAACGTATTGATTATGAACATCAAGAAAATTTTGATTTAAGTTTTACTTATCCATTACTGTATCCTTATGTGTCATTTGATGTTTCATTTGAAAATTTAGAAATACCAAATGAATTTCAGCTGGATTTTCTTCCACTAATGTAATCAACATAGGCTTTTTTGTGCTTTAACAAAATGAGAATGATCACTTATTTTTCACTTTTTGGTAGTTTTTTCTATGTCAATTCAAATTTAGTCAGTTTTTCTAATACACAAAAACTAAAATGTGTATACGTATACGTGCTAAAATTATAATTCTTCATGTGAATGTGATTTTGTTTCTCATGACGGTTTCGCAGTATTTTTCTTATTTACAGCCCACTTTATTGCCGTACGACTTAAAGTTTTAGTATTTACTTCTTCTATTGCGTATGTTGGTGCTACAATATTCACTTTTTATTTACGACAAAAATGAATATTTTTTGTCATTTTATTTATTTTTGTTCCTCTTTTTTTTGTCCCTTCTCTATCCCTTTGGGTATCTTCATGTTATTATACAGGATGTTTCCTGTCATGCTATTTCGTGAATATCAATACAAAATGAAAAAAGTAACAATAAGAACTAATCAACTAGGAAATATATTCACGATACTATTCGTTTAGGGAGGATTGCATCAGGAATGCTAGCAGGCATAAATTCACACTTCTCAGTTTCAAATATTCTCAATCATAAAACATCTTACGCGTATCCTTTACGAGCTCCAAAAATAATGACACACATAAGTAGATGAAAATGTCATCCATTTGTATGGAACACGAATTTACAGTGGTTACCGTAACATAACATTTCTGGATACCGCCGCAGTGCACTGTAAAAAAAATAACGGCAAAACTATCAAAAAGTCACGATAAAAGTGTGTCATTATCGCTCAGAATACAACTACCAATAAGACGATGATGATACACTTTTACTGTGACAATGACATACTCGGAATACTAAAAATAACACTTAGACTGTGACATCGCTGGTCTATTGGTTGGATAAAACTTGGAGGATGTCAGACGTTTTTCCTGTATAAAAGTGTAGCGTTACTATACTTTTAGTGTTATGATGACACACTTTCTAAGACTGATGCCTGGTAGGAAAGCGTGGCATTACTACACTTTTAATGTTATGATCGATGGGAAGGTGATCGATCGTAAACTTTAACAGTGTAAGAAACACAATGACTTGTCAAGTATCTCCGAACTCCTATTTAATTTTGAGCTTAACTTGTTCCTCAATGTGTCTTCCTTTTTTTTAAAACGTTCTAGACGATATCGTCGCTGGTGCACTGAAACCACGGGTTTGCCAGAGCTTAAAAGTAGAGAAAATTATATATAGTTGCTCTAGCTGAGTTTCCAATCTCTTTTTTACACTTAACGCGAAAATCAATCAGGATCGCATCCCTAGCCATCAGTATATGGTAGACTTCTACACATTCATTAATTTCTAGATTGACAGCGTAAGTATAACATCCAAAAGTAAAGAAAACAATGATGAATTTTCTTTTGTTTTTTAAAACGAAGATGACAAGTTTTAAACAATAATAACAGCAAAGGAAGAAAAAGATCCTACAGTTCTTCCATTAATAAATCTGAAAAAAAACGCGCGTACCAGCACAAGAAACTAGATTGCAATTGCGCTGCGCAAATGTTGCGATGTCGACAGATTCTGTCTCTGCTGGCAGCTGCTAAAAGCGGTTCCACAGCGAGCAGATTTTCACTACACCGCTTTCGATGTTAGTTTCTTATCGAGCAGCTGAAAAGAAAAAAATATTTGAAAAGTTTCTAAGTTTTTGACACTTTTTTCTTCCACTTTTGGACCTTATGACACTGATTCCAAATCAGTTTGACGTAAACGAGCAATCAATGGTCAATCTTCAGTGTCTAGAAAACACTCGTGGTTTCAAAACTTTTCTACGTGTGGAAAAGTGGAATCATTGGATGATTGCATCCATATTTCGCAAAAAAAACTGATCGCACAGAAAATAAACAACAAAATTCCCTATAAAAACTCATATTGTCTGTCGACATAAAAATACAAAATAAAATGTAAATAACATAACATTATATTAACCAGCAACAAGCAGCGATGAGTCATAATAAAGCAAAGAAGCTTTCCAACGGTTAAGTTAAAAGTATGACACTATCACGCCAAAAGTGTAGAAATGTCATGCTGGAGATCATGCCAAGATCAAAGTGTGGCAGCGTCGTGGATAAAGTGTAACATTGCTGACACGGTAAAAGTATAGTGACGTCACGTTTTATTTTGTGTCATACTACATGTGTAACAATATCATGCTAAAACTGTGATAATGTTACGGTAAAACCATGATACCCGGTTTTTACCGTAACATTGTTACACATTTGCCGTAACATTTCGGGACAGTTAAGTGTGCAATCGACTGAAGATCATTACCACAACTGCATTGGTAAATCCGCCGTGCATTAAATGAACCAATCGCATTTTAGTAAAAAGCCTTACTGTTGTTGCGAGAGCAAGTCAGAGTTAAGCAATTATTTCTAATGATTATAAAAGCTGCTGTTTGAAGACGTTCGGAATAACATATCTGGAGCTTTAACATACGAGCTGTTTTGTCATGGCGTTCTAGAGAACTTTGCAACCGAAGAAATGGCGGATTGAAGCGAATAAAATTAAACTGTAGACCGTTTGAATTTAAAATTTCGTTACCGATAAAAACTAGAAAAAAACGCCTGCTACAAAAATCTTTTTTATTGACATCTGTTTGAGGTCAATGCAGAAAATAAATTGTTTTCAACATCCTGCCAATGAATGTTTTTATTGAGAATTTTAGTATAATGACAGTCCACAGTTTATCTGTGAATTTTTCACATTTTCTTAGCTGAAAACAGAGTGTCAATTAATTTTTCAGAGTTTTATAGTACCCTGCAGTCGCTGGTTACACGCATCGTTAAAGATACTGGTGTCGATGAACGTTGTGAAAAATATCAAAGTAATCGCATTGGTTCACACGGCTATTACTAAGCTATGATTTAAGTCAAGAGCAGGGTTGCCATCTTTAGAAGTCCGTAAAACGAGAAAAATTGGAAAGCATTTTTTTGCTTACCGAGGAGTTTGTAAGGGGGAAAAGCTATTATCCGTAATAAGGATGTATTTTCAACTCAGTAGATTCATGAAGATTGGTGCTTCACTTTATAGATGCACTTATAGAAAACGAAGTTTATCAAAAGCAATTACATTCAATCAAGAAAGGATAATGGAAACGGCGAAAAAAAATCTAAAAAAAGAAAGCGGAAAAGATGGAAACTCTGGTCAAGAGTCAGCAGAAATAGCTAGAAAACATCACCGCATGTCCTTAGTTTAGATGAAACAACGTATCATCGAGACATCGTTATTAATAGTGACTTGAAGCTACGATTTAATTTGTTTCCTTTTTATTCTGGTTTTACTTATTATTTTGATCTCTGCTGAATGACTTCTTTTTAGAGAATTCTTTATTTTGTAGCGATGAATATGTTCGATGCATCACTAGAGTGTCACCTGACTGTTACGCCACGCATAGATCATCCACCTGATCAATATTTACCGAATGAATCATTGTCTGCAATCGAATCGTATTCTGTTCTATTCGATCGTGCATCTCACAATTTTTCAGCTAGTTCTGAAATATCCTTTTCCGATGACACAAAGCAAGGAATCGATCGATATAAATGTCCTCCAGCACGCTCGACAACAATCCTGGCTGACAATAACAACCGACAGAATAAACAACTTCATTTCGATATTTCGCATCCACAACTGACAGATGACGAAGATGACGAAAATTTACCTAACAGACTTGGTACTTTAAATATTCAACCAGAATTGAAAAAGTATTCATGGATTACTTCAACCTGTGTAAAAAAATCATACAGTCTAAATCCTCGGAACAATTCACCCAAGGAGGCTGATGAAAAAAATTCCGTCCCTCAGACATTGACTTTGTCAATAAACACACAAGAACCTAACAATGATGAGCGAACACCGGCACTTGAGCTAAAAGTGAAGAATGCAAAAGTAAGTTCTCAAGTGAAGAAGGACTAAATCATAGTGATATATAACGTATCACAGAGTATCACCATTTTTGAAGTTAAAAGTATTTTCACAGTGTGAATCACAACAACGAAGTTTGAAAACCTTTATGCACTTTATCGAAAATCTAGGTATTCTAACCTCATTTAACTTAAAGTTCGAATGACTAACTTAATATCTGCATTTATGAATTTGTTTTGTTCACCATTGCCACTTTTATTCTACAGGTCTCACGACGAGTTTCTCAATGTTCTCATTTACCCGACATCGACAATGATCGATATCAAGCAGAGGTGGAAAACACCGATTCAACAAGTAAGGACACTTCTTGTACGACAAAATATAAAGTACTTTATATCTTGACAAAAAGCTCTCTGATATACTCTGATTCGACATTTGAGTGCAGCTTTATACTGCGACGTTCCTTTCTTAGTCGGCTGAACTCTGTCTTTGTTGATAAACACAATCTCACTCTCTATCCCTATTATTTTCAGTTTCCTTGCCAACAGAGAAGAAGGAAAAACCACGAAAGTCAAGGTAAAATTCATTTTTAATGTGTGCGGATGTGATATGTATGCTTTTATTGTTGTGCTCGGTCTTTCATAACAAATAGTTTGATCGTTTGATATCTATAAATATATCAATAATTTGACTACACACAAATATTACACTCACTCGAAATGATTACTAATTCTATGTAATCATGTATGCAAGTAATAATAATAACAGACTGTGCTACTATTGCAGACCCAATGGTCATGGAATAGATTCAACATTTTGAGTCCAGTCCAGCCTGAGTAAACAGTCCAATGGGCTTTACAAACTTCTGTATGCTCTAGGAGTGAGTGGTCCATTAGCAGTAAGACTAGTGTCAACAAAAATTTTATTGTTACCAATTTCTATTTGCTCGTCGTCAATTGTACTGAACAGCTTTAGCGTTTCTCCATTTCTACTAGCACACCATTTGTTCCTACGGTGCTATCATAGCTTCAAACTATGGTACTTCTCAAGCTAGTAACGCAAAAGTTCATGTAGGGACAACATTTCTCGTTGTACATCTTCCTGATGATGAACTTAGACAGTTCGAATTCTTAAACCTAAAGCTAAACAGTATTAACGATTCTATATGGCGTGTACTACACAATATATAAAATCGCCTTTAACAATACAAAAACAACATGCATTTTACCGATTTTTCCTCCATATAAGAGCATCCAAACAGTTCATGATTTTGAAAGTTTGAGTTCACTGACTTCAAAAATTTTCAGCTCAGTCCAGACCATATAGAGTTATGCCAAGTACTCAACTAGCGAAAGAAACAAGTCAGAAAGACTTCAGATTGACCGTTATTTAAGATGTTACGCCACTATTTCTATCTCCATGTTCTCGCCTTTTCATTTCAAGAGAACATTCCCTTCACAGTAATAATACTAGTAGTTTACATCAATAACATCAGTCGTCCCTTTCAAATGTCCGTTGCACAGCTGGCTGTGACATTCTTTAATAGTTTCTCTAGTTCAAATCGAATGCGTATTTCGAAGGAACAACTTGCGGCTGCAAACAGAACGTAGCCTTGGCAATGATGTACTTGATTTCTACGTTCATGAACACAGCATCATGATACTATGAATGGAACCCATAAGAAAGAGTAAACCATTTCGAACTCGACGTTTCTTCCCCTTTTGCTTTATGAATGAAATCATCGAGTTGTTCTTCTTTTACAGCACTTTACTTGGATTAGTGTTTAATTTCTTGTTCGGCCCTGAATCGACCCTCTATTTTTTTATTAATGACGGTGTTTTCTGAGCAGTCGTCTACAAAAAACAGATGATAAAGCAGTTTTGTCTATGTTGATCGAAAGTCTCAGTGTTTGTGATTCACTTAACGCGTAGACGTATGTTGACGCTAAGAATACACCACGAA